TTTATGTGTTGAAAGTGAAGGGAATGGAGGTGTGGAGAAGCATTATGGGGAACCTTTCTAGTCATATCTTCAATTTAACCATCAGGGGAAATGCTTCAAAAATCTAAGATTTATGAATTTCTAGTAAGCCGTTTCCCAGCATGTAAACAAATCTCAGCGGGCTGTTTTAGGAAGGTAGATTTGGGCAGTGAAGTAATCATTTTTATTCCTCTGATTTTCCAAATAGAAATGGACATATATGATAAAAATGTCAGCCACACTCTCCACGTCAGGGCCCTAACAGGATTACATGTCAGTTCTTAATGTCTCGCTCTGTTTTTCTTTGCCATGAATGGCTGCATTATTGCTCACAGGAACTTCACTGTAATATATGGTAAGAGACAAGTAGCTCTTTATGGCCAGTGATTATTCGGTTTGAATGAAACCTGTGATTTATGTCCATTTAACTGAAAAGCCTTGTAAATTCCCAGTGCTGCATTTTTCCTCAATAGAGAATGAGTCAAGCGAAAGTGACAACTAGGTTGGCGTGGAAATGTGCAGTGCATTGCCGTGTTATATTTAATACACCTGACATGAAAAACGTGCACACACCACACAGTCACCTTAAATAGGAGTGAAAGTGACATTAGCTTGTAATATGACTGCCATATTCAGTGGATTAGACACTAACATTGGCTTAAAAGGAGATTTGGAGCCAGAATGGGATGGGCATGGGGCCACGGATAGTGATAGGCAACTCTATCACCTGTCATTTTCTCATAATATTTTAAAAATTAGTTGTTTTTTTCAGTTGCTTCTACTGCTATCTATAAAATAATATGATTCTTCCCTTTCATTACAAGTCTTATTTTTATCTTTACAGTTAAGCAGGACAGCATGAAATTTAGGTGCATATATTATTCCAGATCTTTCTTTAGGAGGTGCTATCATTCAGGTGGCTTTTTTTATTTTTTGCTTTTTGGATCTCTCTCATTCAATCAGACTCCACTTAAGCATCTGCCTTACCTCTACTTGGTCTTGTCTCCTTAGCTTTATCTCTAATCCACTCGCTGTTTGTCTGAGAACCCAATCTCCCTTTCTCCACCCCCATATCAAATCTAGTTTAGATAATGGCACCTTGTGGGATTTTTCAGTTTGTTTATCTGTTTTGTTTCCAAATTATATTCCAGTTTGCACAACCAAAAGTAATTGTTTCAAATGAGGTTTTCTAACCATGGGGCTTGTGACCTTCATTTCATTTCCAGGTCTTCTGTTTCATACTCCAACTGCTCTTTGTTACTTACGGATATTAGGTGGAAAATTATTTTGCCTTTTTTTTTTTTTTTTTTTTTTTTAAGGTTTGGGAAGAAAAGTAGCAACACATCTGTATTAATCTCCCTTCTTTTTCTATAATTTAGTTTATGTTTCTCAAACTGTGGCTTACTGGATTTTAAATGAAGAAAACAGAAAGTAAAGTTGGTGTTTTCTTTTATCATCTTTGTACTGTCAAACCACAATACTGCTTGTTATTTTTAAATAACCACAAAATAAAATCTATGGACAATTAAAACACACACACATGCCAGAAAATATTAGAATTGGCACTGGTTTCACAGCAGTCAAGAATTCAGGGCCTGCCAAAAATATCTGATCAGGCCTTGCTTTACATGATACTGCTAAACATTTTCCTAAGACTAGTATGGCAGTTAAGTGAATCAAGAGGAAGTCCATCAGAGAACAAAATTATAAAGATTTCAAAGGCTTAGGCCTATGAATAATTTGAGACCTAGTTTTATGGCATGCTCATTAGGGGGGGAAATCAGACAACTCAAGTTTCCATAATAGCTTTTTGTTTCACAGCAGGCCTAAATAATGTACTGTTTACAAAGTAAAAATGATGCAGTAACTTTTCTTTATCATTACTGTGGATATTGTGCATCTTCTCTGATTGTGGAAATATTGTTGGGCTAGATCTTAATTAGTGCCTAATTCATGGCCATGTGTGGCACGCATTTGCAGCAGCCACTCTTCAGTCCTGGATGAGCAGAAGTTACTCATGATCCAGTGGGGTTGGTCTTTGAAATGAGGGAGCTGCGAAGCCCTGTATTTGCACCTCATTTTCTCAGGTCAAGCCTTCGTCGTGTTACAGTGTTGTTCTGCTAGAGAGGCTACTACTGTACAGTTCAGCCACTGCAGATTTCTAATCTGCTTATTTATAATTCAAAAGCTTGCCTATATATTAATGAACCCTTAATGAGCTGTTGAAAATGCCTGAATTACAGTCAGATTATTAAACTCCAACAGCCCCATAATCATACCATTTGAGTGGGCTTTAGGTACTTTTCACATCTGCAGCTTAGTATTGTGAAGGGTATGCGTTTATTTGGAGGAAGCTTTGTAATAATTTTGACCCGTAATTTATTTATTGCCCTCCGAATGCAGTCATCTATGCAGATGCTCTTTCCCATTATCTGTGGGGCAGGTGCACAGCATGTTGAAAGACAGCTAATTAGGATTTGCTGAAAGATATGCAAAAACTATGGGCTTATAACAAAGCCAAGTTCATTGTTAAACAATGTTTTACTGTGTTTGTATGATTTGTCTAAATCTTAGGGATACTGAAATGAATGTTGTGGTTATAAGTAGATTGCAAATAGGGCGGTTTTTTGTTTTTGTTTTTAAACTTCATAATTCTGTGATAACCAAGCCTAGATGTATAGCTTTATAAATCTTTATAAATGTATACGTTTTGGATTAAAAATAAGAATGACCATTTTTCAAGTTATTGTTTTACCAAGTTTTAGTTTGAAGATATCAAGATCTTTTGAAAACCACATAGTTCTATTCATTCTGCCCCTTGCAAACTTAGGTTCATTAAAATGTTTATAGGTGCCTAGGGGAGTAGGTGTTATGATTGGAATCTATGTGTGACTCTGACTTCTCATCTATAGGAGTGTGAACTTTTTGTCAGGAAATGATTTTTCTGATTAGATTTGATGTACATAATTTATAAAGCAAATACAGAAAGATTACATTAAAATATTCTTCCTGTATTTGAAGCAACCACTGAAGTGTTGATTTACTTATGATTTTAAAAGAGATATTATTTGTCACAAGACGTACTTATAATTATTTTTTTGTGTTTACTACTATTGAGTTTAAGAGTTGCTTCCAATTGGTATGGTGGTGTTGGTTTATATGCATATTAGGTACATATGGAAGTGCAATAGATGGCTAATTAATTTGTGTCTTGCATTTCTTCCTGACGAATTTCCTTCTTCTGTCTCCCTGCTTTCTTGTGTATTAGCCATTGAGCATCTTCTCTTGTGTCCCACACACGTGCAGGGAAGTGTAAAAATTTTGTCTATGGATGTTGATCTACTATTAAAGAACCTCCCCAAATGTCCATAAGAAAAGATGAATAAATATAAGTACAAGGGTAAAACTAGAAACCCAAGAAACTTTGAAGGTAAATGAAACCCATTTCCAGGAGAAGCACTATTATCTGTACGTGTGTGTGTGTGTGTGTGTGTGTGTATGTATATATATATATATAGAACCAACAAACACAAAAATGTGAGCAAAAGTTTAATTTAAAAAGGAGAAATGTAAGGAACTCCCAAATGAATAATAGAAAGTGAAACAGCCTGAAGTGTCAGATAAGAGGTAGCTCAGTGAGTCCTCACGGCATATCAAAGGCACAAAAAACGGTATGTGGGACTACATGTGTCTGGGCCTTGAGATTCTACCATCTAGTAAAATGAATTGGAAGAAAAGAAAGTGAAAGATGTTAAAAATACCAGTGTAACCAATATTTGGTAGTTTCTTCCAGATCTAGAAGAAATAGCTTTAATGATCAGCAATGTACTGATACTGATTTTATCTTATTTAAGGGGCTCCTAACTTTTGGTTCTGTAAATGAATTATTGTCTTAGTGTATTATAGTTTCCATACCTTATTTGTTTTCCTCTCCAGGCAACAGACATAATTTTAAATTATTTTGAGTTAGTTTTATTACCCAGTTGAAATTATTCTGAAGTATATTTTTAAATGAAAGTGACAGCTTTAAAGTGTTTTGAGGGAGGAAATTAAAGTTGTGCATTTGAGTTAAGACAACCAAGAGCTCTCTCCTGCTGTGGGCGTAATTCAGGACATCTAGGAATGGAATCTGTTCTTTAAAGAATTGATGATAGTTTTAGGTTAGCACATAAAATTGCAGAGCTGGTGCTCAGCTGAGTACTTGGCAGCTTATAGATGTTACTGTCATGTAAGTCACACCAGACACAGAGTGTGCACCACTGTGGATAAACAACAGACACAGACGCAAAAGGCAGAATCCAAATGCAGACATGCAAGACGCCAGCTTCCTTCCCCTCCTTCCCCAGGATGCCTTGTGAAGAACCCACTTTTAGACAGGTTTCCAGAGCTTAACGGGCTGGGAGAGTTTAGATTACGTTACACATTAATGAAAATGGGATTTTGAGCTGTCGTGACTCCAGTGCTTTTTTATACCATGATAATTATTTTAAAACTTTGTCTTCGGTGTTGTTGAAAACATCTTGGCAGAAAGCCTGTGTGACCTGATTAAACCTACGGATTGTCAGCTGTGATCTATAGTGCTCCGATGAGGTGCTGACTGGGCATCACTTAGGAAGTTCTTTATATAAAAGCAAAATTAGATTGAGACTATTGTGCCCGGCACCGTATTGCCATGTTGATGGTACATTTTTAATACTGTATTTATTAGTGTCCTGGTTTTATAGTTTGTTGACAATTGGTTAAACAAGGCATTTAATTAAAAAAAATTATATATATATATTGTGTGTGTGTATATATATATATAAATATATATATATATATATATATATATATATATATATATATATATATATTTTAAAGCATAGCTAATTACCTCATCATGTATGTATTTCTCTTCTCCCCCTGAAATTACATAATGGAGAAGCTCATCTGATCCTGCTTATTTTTTAATTTTTGGGTATAGCTTGTGAATTAATTATTCTATGAGATTTTAAAATCTGTTATTTAGCTGTATAGAGAAACAGAACAACCATATTTCTTTCATTGGGTTTTATATCCTTGGATGATGTTTTTTCTTTCTCAAAGTCCAAAATTTTTAACCCTCTTCACATTTTATTCTTAAATCACCTAAATCTGGGAAGAGTGGATGTCAGGAACTCAAGGCTACCTTTTTTTAAGGATCCAGAGGATCCAATCTGGGGTAAATTGAGAAGGGGTGATCTTAGAAATTTTGGGATGCATGTCAATATTATCGTGAAAAGAATTTCCATACTTAGGCTTATTGATAAAGTGTGAACAATGAAATGCTCCATGATTTATAGTGCACTGATGTTGTTTGAACATTTTCTCAAATAAATAAAATACACTGTTTGTCCTGTTTCTCGCTTATTCTCTCTCTGTCTCTCTCTCCTTGAAGGTCTCAGCATCAGAGGAGCCCAGGAGGAGGACCCTCCCGATCCCCAGCTAATGAGACTGGACAATATGCTTTTGGCAGAAGGGGTTTCAGGTCCTGAGAAAGGTGGGGGATCGGCGGCAGCAGCTGCAGCCGCGGCAGCCTCTGGAGGTTCTTCAGATAACTCTATTGAACACTCAGATTACAGAGCCAAATTGACCCAGATCAGACAAATCTATCACACAGAACTGGAGAAATATGAACAGGTCAGCAGCCGCCACTCTCATAGTCCTGCACAAACCTCTATTGCTCTGCTATTAGACTGCGCTAACCAATTCTGAGGGCTGTGAGGGGTAGGTGTTAACACAAAGAACAAAATAAATAAGGTCAATGCTAAAATCTAAGTGAATTGTTGGATTCATGAAACGAAGTCCCTTTGAGGTTTCAGAGGTGAAGCTAAGCTATTTTATCCCATCTACTTGTTTTAGCTATATTCATTCCTCACATTCATGTGCCCTTACTACCTCACCCACAACCATCCTTCCTCTCCAAACTCACCTTTTTGTGCTCTTCATAGCTTTGTATCATTAACATTTATGCACTGGCCTTGTTCATAGCTGTGATGGCTTTTAAAGGGAAGCACTGCAGAGTGAGATTTTCCTCCTGTGCTGGGAGTTCCAGAATCCTCCTAGGGATTCTTATGAATTGTGCCAGGCTGTAGGGAGGGAGCTAACTTCACAAAGTAAGCAGGTTCTGGCCAGTCTCTCTGAGGAGACCACCCAAGATAATTAACCTGGGCCAGGGAATACTAGCCATTGTGTGCGAAATTCCTGATTAGAGAGTATGCTATTGCTGATTAAAAATTCTATTCTCAGCCATTTTATTAACCATATTTCATTGAGTCTAAGATACTTTGTTTTTAAGATGTATTATTGCTTTATGTACCACAAGAAAAAATTAACACTGCCCAATTTAACTATAACATTGGTTGTGAAATGGTTCCAAACTTCAGAGATATTAAAATGTGGAGGAAAAGAAGTAACTCTTAGATTCAATGAAAGAAGGTAAAATGTTGATAGTTCATTTTGAACTTATTTTAGTTGTTAGTTTAAGCCTAGAAACCTGTAGTTTGAGGGATTTTCACTGGAAGGTAATTAAAGAAAACATTATATGGAAATGTTTAAATGTATCCCCAAATAAAGAGAATATTATTAAGTCAAATCCTATAAATTGCCAAGTTTTTAGGTCAAAAAGCAGTTGTCAATTGGCTATTTTATAGTTAAATCTAAAATAAGGAATTGCCTATTTATCACCCAGATAAATATATATTAACATTTTGTCAGTCTTATTTTGTCTATCTTTCCCTCACCCCCCCCCCCTTTTTTGTGTGTGTGTGTGGGGTATTTTAAAGCAGTCTTAGACACCATACCATTTCACCCATAAATACTTCACTATGTAGTCAGATATGTCTTAAAGTCCAAACACCTTAATGTAATGTGGCAGTCCTGGCCAGTTTTAATACTGATTTATCTTCTAAGTTCCCTGTATAGTTTCAGTTGTATATGTTAGTTTTTTTCATTGCCTTCTCTAATATGCTGGCTGTGGTGGTATTAAGCAAATGCTGCATTCTGTCCCAGAGGTGAATGTGTTTTTAGGGAGGGTAGAAAGATTTATGTAGTTCTATGTTAAAATACAATATAAATTAATCTTATAAGCTATTATGCATTTTTTTCTGAATAGGACTTTCTGGGATCTCAAACCATCTCTAGTCTCATATATAGGAATAATTTTTAGTGGAAAATGTGCAAATAAGAATTTTAGAAAAATTATATTTTGTATGTGCATAAAAAAATGGAACTTTCTGATTTGACATATAAATAATTGAGAGTAAACAAAATAAGTCATGGTTGAAAAGATTGCCCTGAGCATAAACAGTAGAAATGGCTCTGATTTGTAGCAATATCCTAATTGCATAACTTTATGTTAAATATATCTATCTGTACTTACTAAAGAAACACCACCAGGCACCTTGCAGGAAAAGATCTATAGTATTGGGCCAATGGCTCTACTTTTTTGGCTGAGGAATTAAGATGATTCCTTACTGTCTCCTGCCATATCTCCTCACATTGTCCTCCTTATTTCCTTTCTGTAGCCCTGTTGGAAGTTGGGTGAGGCAGGCATCAGTCAGGCAGTGTCAAAGGGTTTGGGCTTTTTTGTGTGTTTTTTTTGTGCTTTGAAAATACACATATATATACAAGTTCTTTATAATTAATCTGCACTAAGTATTTTTGGGTTAAAGATTATATTGGGAAATAATGAGTTAGAATATAGTCATGAACCTTATTGTTAGATATATTTATTAGCCTAATAACTACTTAGATGTCTGTTTCTTTTCTCATTTTTAGCACTTTCAGAAGGAAAAAAATATAGATAAGTAAAGTCATTGCAGTATTAAGGACAAATAAATAAATTGAATATGGTGACTAGTTGGCTGATTCGACAGAATTTTAGCTCAGCAATTTTCTGTGGGTTCTGAATTATTTTAGAAATATCAGTGGCATTTAATTCTCTTGAGTTGTCTTTGGGATGGCTTTTATAGCTCTTCTGTGAGTTTTAACATAAGATAGTCAACTTTTCTTTTTTCTTTTTCTTTTTAAATCTTTGAAATACAGGTCCTTATCTGGAGTAAACCTTTCAGGGATATCTTTTGAAATTGCTATGGCCTAAGTAGAACTGAGGTGAAGTGGTGACATTTCTAAAGTAGATGGTATTATAATTTCCATTTTACAGATGAGAAAATGAGACTCAGGTTAAGTTGTCTGTCCAGTGTCATACATCTAGTTAGTGTTAGAATCAGGCACTGAAATCTGTTTCTGACAATTTGACTGCCTTTTTCATCGAATTATGCTGCTATTTATGTCGAATTGGAAAATAATTCAGGTACATTCTGGTTGTTTGTTTGTTTCTGATTTGCCCATGTTGGATTGCATTTGGAATGGGATCAGAGTAGAGATGAAAATATAAAACACAACTATTCTAATCACTTTGCAGAAATTATATTTTTCCTCCTAAAAGTGAACATGGGTATTCTGAATGATGGAAGGCTTATTAGTAAATAGGAAGAACATATATGTTAAGTAAGGCAGAAACTTCATCCGAAAATTGTGTTGAGTCTTTTATTAAAAGAAATAAACCACATTGGAATCAAGAGCTATTCACTCTACTGTGTTTTGCAATGAAGCTGTAATGAAAATGTATCTGAAGCCTGTTTAGATTTAGATTGCCATAAAATTAACACACACTACCACTGCCATAAATTAAAGTGCCTTATAAACATAGCCACATTTACAAAGCTAAGCAGACTAGAGCTACAGTTTGAGCAGAATTAAATCCAAGCTGTAAGGCTTTGTTTTATGTGTGTTTAAGGAATGGCTACCTTTAATATACTGTCCTCTTTTCTTTTTTTTCTCTATAAAATGTCTTTTGATTATATGTCCCCATTACATAGGCTTAGATGTAATTATTTTTAGTGACAATCATCTAAATTCACTTATAAACCCTTTTGAAATATTTGGCTAAATATTAGAATATAGTATAAATAATAGAACGTATATTAGAATGAGATTCTTGAATATGATTACCACCCCCAAAGGAAACAAAACTATTTTACTTCTCTCTTGTTGATCCGGACACCAAATAGAAATATGACAATTTTCCAGAGCTTGCAGCAATTGTCATACTACTTGTCTTGGGTGCATTGCCTCCCTCTTTAGTTGGACAAAAACCTGATTGCTTATTTGTCTTCTCGTGAATTAGTTAGAAGTTTTGAAAAATGCTTTTACATTACCTTTCAAATAAGCTCTTACGATTAAAGGCTGAACTATTAGAATAGGTGAATTCTTAAAGAATTTTAACCAAGGGTTCTGAGAAGCCTGTTTTTAAGAATTGAAGGCCGCCTTGGTTCCTTCACCTCTCTACCAAAGGGAAATGGACACATTGGTATTTGCAAATGAAATTTGACTTAGACATTTGTTCTCAGTTAAAACAGAAAAGATATATCATGCCCTGTGCAGCTCTCCCACTTTGCTTGTACCAGAAGAAATGCTTGTACACAGGCAATTCACTTCATAATTTATAGCTGCTATAATAGAGATGACATATTGAAAGCTATCTACTATAATTATATTGAAATACATTTTTGCCGAAGGCGAAAGTGTTATAAGGGTACCAACCCTCCACAAGCATCTGGGAACCTGCTTTCTGAGTTCACAGATGTCAAATGAATTCACCTCAAATCAGGTAGAGCATTGGAACCAAACACTACACTGAATGTGCTCAAGACCAATCAGACATTGTTTATTTACTAGAGGACTTTCAGATTACTGAGGATTGTTGGGGGAATGGAAAATGAGTGTGGAACCTAAACCAGTGGAAAGGAATGGCCTTGGGCTCTTTGAGGATCTCAGCATTATGTACTTACCTCTCCTGGCAAAATCTGCTTTGCTTGTAAAGAAACTTCATTTTTATCAGCTTAAAAAATGCTGACGTTATTATATTAGAGTTTGTCTAGCCTGCAAACTCCTAATCGCATTTTGCTATTTATTTTTAATAGTTAAGCAGGAAAGACAAAAGTTTATTACCTGATGTAAACTTTGTGTTTTATTTTCCCAAGCAAGGCTTTGTTAGTCATTGTTCCAAGGGGAGGGTTTCACTTCTTGCCGGTATTCATGCTGGGTCTTTTCCTTGACTGGAAGGAAGTAGTGTTTGAGTACTCACTTTCCCCCCTCCAAGTTTCTAATTTATTGATTCTATGTACCAGAGGTATCTTTGACCATATGCTTGATTAGTGAATGAATTGTTTTGTATTTGAATACTACTCTTTTTTATTAAACTTGTTTGGAAGCAGTGTTTGTATTCAGGCAATGGCAAGTCAGAATTATATGTTAAGTAATCAGAGAAGGGAATTGCTTATAGAATTAACACACACATATGAATTTCATTAACTTGCCATTTTCATTGTCAATAATAACTGTCATTTATTAAGTATTAATTATGTTATAGACTCTATGCAAATAACTTAACATACATATATAATATAATCCTTATAGAACTCTCATGAGATAGGTCCCTAAACTATGTAATTAGGTTAGAAGTGTTGCAGTACAATAGATATTTCATCTTTGCATATTGGTTTCATTCTAGTTGGCTTAGCAAAAGAATCTTTAAGTGAAAAATTTGTTGATTTAATAATAAACATTTCATAAATACAAATCTATAATATTAGACTAGAGTTGCTTGTAAGGTTATAAAAACATCTAGAAAATGGATGCATGCAAATTTGAGAGGCATTGACTTTTTAATAGAGATTTATTCTTTCTTGTAAAGTGAATTTACAATAGGTGGTATTATGATCTGTTGTCCACAATTAGCTTCTCTAGATGGTTACAAAAGACCAATTCAGTTTTTAGATCTGATCACTGAACCATTTAAAAACTTGCTCAAAAAATTAGTGCTTGCTCTTTGTTTGGTTTTATGTTTTTATATTAAATGGTCTGAACCCACAGACAAGAAATTGAATTCACAACGGAAACTAGCATTACCACAAAACAACAAAACACTGAAAACTTTGAGTGTAAACCAAATAGGCATGAATATTGAGAAGACAGTTTTACTAAGTAAAAATGATATTACTGAAAATAGTTTTGAAAAAATATTGCAAGTTCTCATTTATTATTAGGTTTGAATTTTTAAGAAGAAAGGAACAAATGGCAAAAAGTCTCAGAGTAAGAGCTGATTAAGCCCTAGCCGATTTGGCTCAGTGGATAGAGCGTTGGCGTGTAGACTAAAGGGTCCCAGGTTTGATTCCGGTCAAGAGCACATGCCCAGGTTACAGGCTTGATCCCCAGTGTGGGGCATGCAGGAGGCAACCAATCAATGATTCTCTTTCATTATTGATATTTCTATCTTTCTCTCCCTCTCCCTTCCTTGCTGAAATTAAAAATAATAATAATAGATTGAAACTATTTTTCTTACATGAGGCCTTCAGTACTTTATGTTCATTTAACTGTTATTGCAATGTATGCTTTAAGATACACACAAAAAATACATCAGATAGTTTTCAGCAGCTGGATTAAAAGAAAAAGATTTCTGCTATTATTCTAAATTACAAAATTCAAGGACTCCAATGTCTATTTTAGTAACATAGTCATGGTAGATATGATAAATGTTTGAAATGAGCATCCCACATTATAAACAGCATTGATGCTAATATGTGGTTGGGTGGCCCTTTAAAACTCTGCAGTCATTTGATCATTCTTACTGCATTTATATTTTTAAAATGTTACCTTTTAAGGAATAGGAAATGAGGCAGTACTATGTTGTGCTCTGAAACTGGTACAGATGAGGCTGTAAATGAGGCTGTAATTTACTTTCAGTGGTATAAAGGGGAAAAAAATCACTTTGCCTAAAGTGTATGCATCTTTCTTAAGGGTGTACCCAGATTTTAATTATCTAAATGTAAATACTTAACGAATTTTACTTAGAGTAATGAGCTAAAGTGCACACTACATAAATGAGATGTTCTAATTAATCATGTATGAACTACTGGTTTAAAGAAAAGCTATGTGAATTCTGTGAATGTTGGGCTATTGCCAAATTGCTAATCAGCATTTGCATTCATAGATGACTTCACTTAATAAGTTGTGAGACATTCAGCAAATGCTTTAGAAATTATGAGTTCTTACAAGCAGAAACTTTTTACTCTTAACCTGTTTTTTGTTGTCCACATGAGCCTTTGACTGCTTCTTAGAAACCATAGGCAAACAAACATTCATTCTGGAGACATTAAAATACAGCCAGCGAAATACGAGGAGAGCTAACATTGCAGGTATCATTCAGGAGTCTTGAATTATTTATCAAGACATACGCCATGTCATAGATGTCTGTTATAATGTGTGAGCTAGTTTGTAGGAATTAGAAGTGTTATATATACAAATAAGAAATGCTTCCGTAGTCTAGTACAGCAGTTCTCAAACTTTTTGGTCTTAGGACTTAGATTCTTAAAAAGTATTGGAGACCCCTTAAGAGCTTTCACTTGGTTGGTTACATCTATCTATCAATATTTATTATACCACAAATTAGAAGTATTAATTTAAAAAAAAACCACAATAAGCTATTATGTTAACTTAAATAACATTTTTAACACCCCCCCCCCAAAAAAAACACACACAACAAAAACAAAACAAAAAAACCCACCAACTTAAGTGAGAAGAATGGCACGTTTTTTTACATTTTTTTCAAAATTCTTTGGTGTTGGACTTCATAGAAGTCACCTGGATTCTCAAGTGTACTTCTGCCGTCAGTCATGTGCTTAAAGAACATTATATGAAGAATATCTGGCCTCACACAGATACATCACTGGAAAAGGGAGGAATATATTAGTAGCTTTTAAAAATAACAATAGTTCATTGATTTTTAGAACGAGGAAGAGAGGGGAAGAGAGAAACATTGATATGAAAGTATAGCATCCATCAACTGCCTCCTGCATGCCCTCTACCAGGGATCCAGCCTGCAATCTTTTGGTGCATCATCCCATTCGCCAAAAGGTTGCCATTTCAATACCGTCAATGGCACATTGGGAATCAGTACCAAACTATCAGAAAGTCTAGAAACTGTCAGGCTCACAGTGGTGGGTGTAGATCTTTTAAAATTATAATATTAACTTCGAAATTCAAATTTCACCACTGGCATAACTGGTATCAGATGTTTGGCATGAAAGGCTCACTGGGTTCATTTTTGAGAAAACATCTGCCAAACACCCAAGTCTGAATAATCATAATATGTCTATTTTGCTTTCAAATAATAATAATTAAAAAAAGCAGCTTTATTCACAACTTAATCACACAAGTGCCTTTTCTGGGGATAACTATCCATCCATATGCAGAGAAGTACTTTTTATGTACTTTCCATTTATCACACAGAATATTAAAGTCTTAGTCAAGTGTTAAGATACAATAAAATGCATAATTTCTCTTGTTTCATTAAGGACATTCCTAAGTGAATCTGTTTTTTTGTGTGTGTTTGTGTGTATGTATGAGTGTTTATATGAATGCATGGCAAAGACAAGAGAAAAAAGAAACATCAAAGATTACATAGATTACTGTTTTTCAAAGAGTTTTTAATAGCACATTGGTCTGCAAGATGCTATAGTGCTGTCCAATAGTTGCCACTAGTCACATGTAACTATTGAGCCCTGAAATCTGGTCAGCCTGAACTGCGAAATATTATACATATAAAATATTATACATGCTAGATTTCAAGTGTATGAAAAAACAATATAGCATGCCTCATTAAGAGTTTTTACTATAATTATGTGTTTAAATGTTAATATTTTTAATATGTTGAGTTAAATAAAATGTTAAAATTAGTTTCACCTGATTCCTTTCTTTTTAACATGGCTACTTAGAGAACTTAACATTTTATATGTGGGTCTTAATATATTTCTGTTGGATAACACTACTCTAGAGAATAGTGCTCATATTTTGTGATCATATTTACTTGGGAAAAGTTGGGTATACCATTCCCCTTTGAAGATTTACTATGCAATTGGCTATCACTATAGAAGTACTGAGGAGTCCTGCAAAAATAAAAAAAGAGACTTTTTAAATATTGCTTAATATTGATTGCGCAAACATATTGTATTATTGGCCATATATGAACATTTTCTGGAACTAGCTATAGAAGGATAGAACATTTCCCAGTTTGGGGAAACAGTTCTAGTTTAATTTTTTTCATTTTACTGATGATAAAATTAAGGGATGGAGTTTCTGAAATTAAATAATTGTGAAATTACATGAACATCTCTTTAGGGCAAGTGCAAGAAAAAATAGACATATTTCTTTGCAGCTCAACCACTTCTTTTTAGCTCTGCATAAGATCATTTACAATGACAGTAGAACAGGGAAAATCTTAAATTTACTTTTATTTTGGTTTCCTTAAAGATGGAAAGAACTTCTAGTTTTAGAGTTGCAAAGATCCTTAATATAATTTTGTCATAATCTAGGACAATAATTCTCAGCCTTTTTTTAGTTAGACTGTCTAAGAATCCAAAATGAAAACAAACAAAAACTCCACATATTGTCCCTTCAGGAAATACACATGTGCATACAACTTGTATATGATTTCAGGGAGTCATGGACATTCTAAACTTCTCCATGGAATGTGGGTTAAGAACTATTCTCTTATATTTTAGGGATAATATATTTAAGGCTATTAACATTGTTCTTGAGTTGTAATACAAAAACCCACCAATCAATAGATGTTTATTGGATGCCTACGGTGTATATTACACAGTTCTACATTATGAAGATTTCCATAAGTATAGCATGATGCCACTACTCACAAGGAATTTCACATTTCTTAAGAAGTAAAACATATGAAAAACTTTACCTAACTGGTAAGCAAGACTCCTTTTACCTTACTTTAGAAATATTTATAGAAAAGCCCTGTAAAAGCTTAGAGAAATTGAAACACTCGGTGTACTTGAAAGGTTAGTTCTCTAATGAGCAGTTACAGAAATCATCATGTGCTGGATATGAACAATGTTCAGGGTGTCTGTAGGGAAGACCCATTATTATATTAGGTCTAGTAATAATTAATGTCGTTTTCTAATACTTTTTTAAATAGAATTTATTTAAACAATACAACAAAATTTAATCAACAATATAGTTGCCGTTGTTTTCTACTACTTGTGCCCAACGCTCAGGAAGCATTTTAATCCCTCTGTTGTAAAAGTCTTGTGATTTTGATGCGAAAAATTTGGTAAGTGCATTTTTGAGGCATTCTTCATTATTAAATTTTTTTCCAAGAAGAAAGTTTTGCAAAGAACGAAACAAATGGTAATCGGAAGTGGCAATATCAGGAGAATATGCAGGTTGAGGGAGAACTTCCCATTCCAACTGGCGCAGTTTTTCAGCAGTGATTCTTGCAGTATGCGGTCGTGCGTTATCGTGGTGAAGAATTACGCTCTTCCAATTAATCACCACGGGTTCTTTTTCTCTTAAAGCTTGGGCTAACCTTTCCAATTGGGCACTATACACTGCACTTGTTATGGTTTGGGTAGATGGTAAAAGTTCATAATGAAGAATTCCTTTAAAATTCCACCAAACACACAACATCACTTTTTTCGCATGCAAGTCAGGTTTTGGCGTGGGCTGCGGAGCCTCATTTTTGTCCAACCATTTAGGCCACCTTTTCAAATTAACATACAGCACCCATTGTTCATCTCCGGTAACAATTTGCTCTAAAAACGGCAAACGGTTTTGACGAGAGAGGAGCGAACTGCAAATTGTGACTCTTTGATTACGGTTGTTGTCGGTCAACTCATGAGGAACCCATTTTCCAAACTTTTGGACTTTGCCAAGTGCACGCAATTGATTGGAAATTGTTTTTGTGAACAATTTAAAGTTGTCGCAAGCTCTTGTTGGGTAATTTGAGGATTTTGCACCAAAAGAGCTTGAAGAGCTTCTTGATCAAAATTGGACACACGGCCTCGACCACTCTTGTCACCTAACGAAAAATTTCCCTCGCGAAATTTCTCAAACCAACGCTGGCATTTTCTGGCGCTAACTGCATCTTGACCAAGAGCACTACAGATGTTTTTTGCAGCCTCACTTGCTTTTCTTCCTAATTGGAACTCGTAAAGCATGCAGTGCCGAATATGCTCTTCATCCACCATCTTCTTAGCCCTAGTTTTGCAACAAAAAACAAACCAAACACAAACTTTTTCAAGCAAAACTTGTTAATTGCACTTCACACGTTCTGTAGATACCACGTGTTTGAAGGTTATGTCAATACAAGTCAACACCAAGCAAGATTTTAAACGAATGTTTAAAAACGACATTAATTATTACTAGACCCGAATAGCTTCAGATTGTGTCTTGCTGTGATCAGTGATTGTTCTGTCTGCTTGCCCTATCTAGGGCATCTGTGCAGTAAGTTGCAGAATTCTTTTAACGAAAATGCCAGAAGATGCTCTTTTTATTCAAGGACTGATGCTTTATTTACCTAGGCAGTGCTGGCTTTCAGTGTTAGGTGAACTGATAGAGATGGGGGCTGAGGATTGTGAACTAAAACCTGGTTGGTTAAGACCCAAATCCCATCAGGATTTGCCTCTCACCAAAAGAATTGAGCTGCCTTGCCCATCTTCCAGGAATGGCTCTTGTCCACTAATAGTGCCTACACCACAGCTAGTTTATACTAAGACATTGACATGCTTGTCATTCCAGGCCTTTATATGCTATCACAAACCTGAATCCCTTCTTCTCTACATAGTTTCTCGGTTCCTCTGAACTTGCCACATACTACTATGTCCAGTTTTCCTTGTGTCTGGAATTTCTCCTGATTTCTATCTTTACCTTCAAAAATCTTACCTGTTCTTTAAAGCCCCACTGTCACTTGTGCCATGCAACCTGCCATGATCGCTGCCTCCAGATGAGAACACTCCCTCCTTTGAACATAGGAAGCACATATTCCTAGCTCCCTGTGACACCTTGCACAGCCTGCCTTGTTTGAAAATTAATTTTGTTACATATTTTATCACACTGGAGGCCAGGTCTATGTCTTGCTCATTTCTGTGTCCCTTAATAGCACTTAGAAGAGTTTGATCTTCATATAGTCCTTCAGTAAACATTTGTTGAATATATGTAAAACCTCAATGAAATTAGAAGGTGCTTAGTATTAACAATAAACATTTATCGATAAGAGTTAGTAGAGAGCATCCCCCCACTGGGAACACCTCATTTTGGAACTAGGACAAGGGTCAGTGGAAGGACAGTGGAGTGCAGTGTCTCCCTTGCATGTCTGGCCATTCATTTTCAGAATTCTCGTTGCTCTAACTACCGCTGCCGTTTCACCAGTGTCTCAGTTTTCATCTTACCCTACCTACTACATCATGCCATCGGCAACTGCAAATGAGGTAGAAATTCAGATGAGTTCATGTCTGGATGTGATCATGTAAAATACCAGGTCTCTAAAGAGTGGTTTTTCCTCCCTTCCAGGCATGTAATGAATTCACTACACACGTGATGAACCTTCTCCGAGAGCAGAGCAGAACAAGACCCATTTCTCCAAAAGAGATTGAAAGAATGGTGGGCATCATCCACCGGAAATTTAGTTCCATTCAGATGCAGCTCAAACAAAGCACTTGTGAAGCAGTTATGATTTTAAGATCAAGGTTCCTTGATGCCAGGTATGTAAGGCCACAAATCTATTGTGTGGCTTTCCTCCCTTTTTACTCCTTTTAAATTATTTCCTATAAAAATGGTTGGTTGGTTTTAGATACTTTGTTAATTTTGGCTGTAAGAACTCTTCTCTACAATGGACAGGTAATTCGCCTCAGGGTGTCTGGGCTGTCAAGCCTCTTATCTGGGAGTGGTAGTGTATTAGCTTCCAATTTGGTAGCTCAGGAAATAGGATTAGTGCTCTCCTAATGACTTAGAATATGTGGCCTTTGAAATCTGATACTGAAAAGTATTTTTAAGGATAACTTTCAGTCTGTAACTCTGTTTTAACAAAGGCTTGTTTTCTAAGAATTTGTTGATGTTACATTGCTTGTGTATATTGTAAGGAAATACTGATGCTCCTAAGAAGGAAGTGGCATTTTATTTAATAGAGGTGACCACAAAGCCCCAAAGTCTGTTTTTCCAAGTCAAGTGAGAAAGCCTCTGAGTTTCTTCTGTAAGGATGAAAACTTCCCTTTTACCTGAAGCTTTCGCCAACTTTCACAGGAATTAGGTGGTAAGTTGTATATGGTGTGTTTGACCTACCAGGTGACAGAATAAAAGAATTGTCAAGTTGCTACTGCATGCTGCCTCTGCAGGGTTGCCTCTTGAGCATTGCTAAAGCTTGTGATCAATCTTCAGCTTTGGAAAGGAGTTTCTGTTTCATTTGGCTTTCTCATCCTTGGAATCTGACAGGTGATAATTATCATTCAAGTTTTACAGTATTAGAGAAAATAACTAAGTTAGCTTCTCAACTGGAAAACAAAGTGTGTGGCATGGTCCTTCATGCCAGAGCTCTTCCTTAGAGCCAGATAAGGAACATCTGCCACCTAATTTAACTACCATTTGCTCCTAGTTTAGCAAATGCCTGTATCACCTTTAGTCCCTCTTCTTCTCAGTAAGCATTATGTGGACCAGGTAGCTATAGGTAGGCTTGACAGTTTTCCACCCTGCTCACCAACCACCTACTGAGTGTGCCTCCGAGTACCCCAGGTCAGGGCTTTGTTTTCTTTTCAAGCCATACATGACTCCTGCAAAAATGCTAATTGCTGTTCTTGGTATATATCTTCCTCCCCTTCTCTGTCTTTCCTTACCACCTCCCCATCCAATTCATCATCGAATCCTGTTGATTTTAATCCCCAAATAGATCTTGATTCTCTTCTTCATCCCTTAGGAAACAGTATAAGAAATTATAGATTTGATAACTTGAGATGTTTGGATCAGACCTAGGTTTTTTGCTCCTTGGACTCTTCCTTGATGTTGAGCCACAGATGACATGCTTAACCTCCCATGTTAGCGGCATCATTGTAACTAGACGGATCTCATAAGGGTCTACACATTTACAACTGCCTACTGACTCTGTCTTTTCTGCATGTAGGATATCACAAGTGAGAAGATCATTAAGATTATTTGGGGAAAGTATATTTTAGTAACTAGAGAATCTGATTTAAGGTGAAGTCTGACAAATGCTAATTTTCAGGCTAAAATTCATTAAAAACTTCATAACAAATGGCATTTTTGCTATTTGATGTAAATTGTTAATAAATACTTGATCTCCTGACACTCTGCCACCCCTCTCCCAGTAAAGAAATACTTTCCTCCTGTAGTGTTTCTCTGTGAGCAAATCTTACCTTAGTCCAGGTAGTTGCTTAAACAGTCAAATCTAGAAACCTCTGGTGTATTTTTTCCCTTACTTTCCTTTTCTGTTTTCTCTACCCATTTCCCTCCTCCCAAGTCATCATTAAGTCCTATTGCTTTTACCTTTCAAATAGAGCTTGAATCTCTTTATTCCCATTACTCTTACCTTATGCTGTTACCATCATCTCTCAATTTGACCATTGTAGTTGTCTCCTTAAATATATGTCTTTTTTTTCATGGCCTCCTCCCACTATTCTTAGCAGTCAGAACAAATATTTTTTAAAAAAGATATAAAATCTTTAGTAGCTTCCGTGTAGTAAAATAAAATCCAAAAATTCTTTTTTTTTTCTCTCATTAAATTTTGTCATTTTAATGGGTCTCAAAATTCTGTGGCAGATTTTTGGTCATGTTGTTTCCATTAAAAAGTACTGATTTTAAAGAAGAATAATTTAAAAACTGCCACCAAAAATTCTTATGGGGCTCACTAAGCCTATATAATCTGGCCCTGCCTATCCTTCCAGATTCATCTCATACATGTTCTAAAGTTTACTGTGATCTAGATTTCTTTAGCCCTTTGGACTTTTCACCCCCTTTTTGTTGCAGGACCGTTTGCTTTACTCATCCTCCTCCCTCAATTCTTTGACTGACTCCTGCACATTTTCCAGGTCTCAGATTAAATGTCACTCCTTCAAGGAAACCTTTCCTGACACTATAATCTGTTTGGTTCCCCTCTGATACACTCTCATTATATCTTATGCTTTCCCCTCATCGTACTTGATATGGTCACCACAATTTGTAATTATTTATTTCTGTGATACTTGTCTAATATCTTCCCCCCCCCCCCTAACTTTCTACTTTTCACCTTAACCCACCGATCTCCTTTAAACACTCTGGTAGATATTATCTGTTTTGTTCCAACTGAATCTTTATAAAGTATCTAAAACATATTAGATTCTTAGTAAATACTTGTTGACTAAATTAAAGAATGAAGTTATAGTTGTGCTACACCATTTTAGTATTTATCTTAGTCATTCTAATTCTTAAAATGCATCGGATAGTGCTTTGGAGGATGCCAAGAGTGTAATTTATAATGCCAAATTAGTAAATTAGATTCCAAGAATGTTTAAAAATAGAAGTCTACTTTTTTTTTTTTTTTTGTATGATCCTAATTAATAGATCTCTCTTTGGTTAGTGCTGATTATAACTACAATTCTTTTTGTTTTTTGTCATAGACGAAAAAGGCGTAACTTCAGTAAACAAGCCACAGAAATCTTGAATGAATATTTTTACTCACACCTCAGCAACCCCTACCCCAGTGAAGAAGCCAAAGAGGAGCTGGCCAAGAAATGCAGCATCACAGTGTCCCAGGTGAGCAAGGACTCTGACTGTCTGTGTTGTTCCCCAGTAATTCACAAACCCTGTTCTTTCCTCAGAGCATGCTTGCCAAATTACATATCCTTATTTTCCGTCATCAGAGAAGATATAAAGAAAACATAATATTTTTCCACATTTTTATTTAAGCTTTTAAATTTAGATAAATTGTTTTTAAACCTAAGTGTCAAGGAAACAAAATAGTCACCTGCAACCCTAGTGTAAATCTTCACTAGAAAGGACATAAACATGCCATGGGAAGAGGTAGTTTATTGACATGTAGTCCTGCTTTTCCCAATTTGGATGACTGGCCAGGCTTCCTCCAATGAGAAACCAATTTATTTGTTGCTGAAAAGAAATATATATATATATATATATATATATATATATATATATATATATATATATATATATATATATACCGGTGTGTGTGTGTGTGTGTGTGTGTGTGTGTGTGTGTGTATATATATATATATATATATATATATATATATATATATATAAAGGCTAAGTGTCTGTATGTTCGACCAATAGCTATGATGCGCACTGACCACCAGGGGGCAGTGCTCAATGCAGGAGCTGCCATAGTGCACACTGACCATTTAAAAATAAATGGCACCACGGACCTGGCGCCAACAAACCAACACTAGGCTTCCCCCAAGTGGGACACAGGCCCTGCCGCCACCCCAGAGCAACACCCCACCAAATCTCAAGCCAACACTGCAGAGACCTCATGACACAAAATTTGGCCCGCAGCCCAACCTGGAAACAGTCCCTGTGGGTGCCGGGTAATGACATCACGTAGTAACGCCTGGCTTCCTCCCCCTAGCGATTAGCCTCCTTGGAGTTTCTTTAGCTCAGGAACCCAACTTACTTATAGCCAGGTGCAAACATTTTACAGTTTAACCAAATGTTCATGAAGTGTTTTCACATGCCTCAACTCATTTGATTCTCACAGAAGTCCTGGAGTAGGTAGATAGGAGACTCAGTGGAACCCTATTTTCTTTTCATTAACCAGAAAACAGAGTTAGAAAGTTTAGAAAACTTGACCTGACTCAAAAGAAGTAAGAAATGGTGGAACTTGAAAATAACTTCAGGTTTTCTCACTGCACAGAATATAGTCAAGTACTCCTGCAGTTAAATATTTTACCCTTTGTTCTCCTTCTGTGACCTACAATAATAATCTTCTTCATATTGATATTTACTGCTGTGTTGCTGACAGTTATCTGAAAGAGAAGTTGGGGTGCTTCATTGGGCTGGAAAAAGTTTAGCTAAATCAGAAAGCAGTTCCAATTAAGAAAGTTTATTCTATATATATAAAAGGCTAAGTTGACTCACACATGCACGATACATATAAAGCTCTGGCTGACACCAATCGCATGCTTGTGTTTCAATCTGTCATTGTTGATCGTGAATTTGGTTGACACTTCTATTATAGAGAAAGGGGAATAGCAATACTAAAATATTTCTTCTAATTAGTTTCTTTTCAATATGCATGAATCCATGCCCTGGGACACTAATTTAATATAACTCTTTGGTGAAAGCTTTGAGGAATTCACCAAGTCATTTCTTGATAACCTTGCTATTATGGTATTTGATTCCCAATGATTTCTGTGCTTCCTTGTTATCCATTAGACAGAAAAATTAAATTCATTTCTGTCACAGTTTGTATTTTGTTTTAAAGGTCTTTAATAAATTGTAGCCCTGAAGTTAGTTGTCATCATCTAACAAAAATACATTTCATTTTAAACAGATATTTTGATATTTACATTGGGGATGAGCAACAACTGTACTTCCTTTAAAAATAAGTATATCCACTTGGTATTGGCTTGAAAATACAGTTTTATTTAAATATTCATATTGATGCTTATAGATTTTCATTTGAATATTATTTCTTTATACCATGCATATGCAATAGTTACCAACCTGTTTTTGCAGTGGAGCTTAAGGAAAAGCTGACTCTTGCCAGAAATTTCAATGTTTCCTAGAGGTAACATAAGACAAAAAATTTTAAGTAGTTTCTAAAAAAATACTACTCGTGCATCTGAAGGGCAAGATACTAAAGATCCCCTTCACATTCCAATGAAAGTCAATGTTATTTGAGGGAATAGGGGCTGGGTTGAAGATGTTATCCAGTTCTTGTCTTGGCATTAGTTTCCATAGAACCTTTAGAGCAAACTTAGATTTATAATTAAGATTTTATTTACTGGTTATTGTCATTGTCCTATATAGTGTTATTCCTTGATTTTTTTTCTTTTTTTGGGGGGTTGTCCTCAGTTTGAAATGGAATATAGTCAATTTGAGTCATCAGCTTATAAAAACATGCATTTTATAAAACATTACTATCTGGGTTATGTAGTACTCATTGCCACTTGAAATACTAAGTAACAATATAATTTGCTGGATTAGACAGGACAGGTGAAATTAAACGTGCATTTATGTCAAGTGGAGTTTTCTGGAGTGTGTGCATTTCCCCAAAAATTAGTGAAAGAATTGGTCTCATGCTGAATACCAGCTGATGATGCCAAGCCTGGTTTTCTGGCCCTTATAATAGCATTCTGATTTAGAATTCCAATGTCTGCCCCCTAGTGTCAGTGCAGGTCATAGTGACTGGTCACCCGGTCACTTGTCTGCCCCATGGTGGTCAGTGCACGTCATAGTGAGCAGTTGAGTGGCCTTAGCATATCATTAGCATATTATGCTTTGATTGGTTGAGTGAACGACCAGGCACTTAGCATATTAGGCTTTTATTATTTATGATGGTAATGACTTGAGCTTTTAAGGAAAACTGAGGAATCATATGATCTGGCTTAAGTTTTAACAGGCTCAAACCAAGGCAGCTATATTAACAATAGACCCTGGGAGCAAGGAGAAGCAGAGGCACCAGGTAGAGTGCCACAGCCTATGTAGAGTAAGATGATGGTGCCTTGGGCCAGGATGATGTAGAGGTGATGAGAGGTGACTGGACTCCAGATAATTGTGAAAGGGATAGCGAGAGGTTTTCTGATATTGTAGATTAGATTAGGCTGTAAGAGAAGGAGAGTAAAGGTTGACTAATTTTTGGCCTGAGCAGTGGAAGGATGGAATTATCATGAAATGTATTGGGGAAGGTTTGGGGAGGAGTAGGTTTTGGGGAGAGAAAGATAGGAATTTGGTTTTGGACATATTAATATATATTGTAGTTTTAAAAATTTACTGTACATTATAATATATAAATAGGCATAAGTAAGTAAAAAAATGTACAAATCTTATTAGTCATACATTAATTTATGCTAATATATTATAAAGATAAAGATCCTTAATATGAGATTATAGCCAGATCTCAGAATTTGAAATCTCTGTTGTCCTAAGGCTTGGTTTGATTAAGCTGGAGTTCCCCTTTTATGTAACACCCTAGAAATTCACAGAAGAAATTATTCCAAATGTCGTAAGGCCTAAGAATCATACTTAAATTGTCACATATTCTTAGTTAGTGGAGCAGATATTAATATGTCTTTACTTTTTAGAATGGAGCTAACTTGCACTGATTATTCAAGTTAACAAGTCACAAAAATCTCCATTGTTCTCCTGATTCCATTTTTGAATTTAAATAATTTTGGCTGTACTTTCTGTGCTAGAAGTTTTTAGAATGAAAAATATTAACTTGTTCTTCATTGCTAGTCTAATTGAAATATACTGTAAAGAAAAGATTGGCTTTTTTTGTGTGTGTGGTTTTTTTTTTAACAGATGAGAACTTGAAACAGTAAAAAGGTTAGTTGGCAGCATTAAAATTCATTCTTTCATTCATTCGTTTATTCATCTAAGGTATTTGGAGCCTTTACAGTGGTGCACAAGACCAACTTTTATAAGCAGTCAGCTGTGAAGGAAAGTACCTAAAACCCTTACAGATGAGGAGACCAGTGTTCAGAGAGATTAATGATTTGACAAGAGGCACGGGTCTTCAGGAGGGCTGGAGGTTCTTACACAGAGGTTCTTGATAAAAAGGAAGAAAGTGATTTTTACTTTTTTCCAGCAAGAGACAGTGTGATTCCTCAGTCCCTGAGGCCTTGGCTGCAGAGTCCGGGTTTGTGAGGCACAGGCCAGGACTTCTATCACGAAGGCTGCTTCATTCCCCCCTAGCTACTTCAGAAACTCCAGGCTAGTTAGTAGTCTGAGATCTCCTTACTCATTAAACTACTTATTCCAAAGCAGTGAATATTCAGTAAGCTAATTAAAATTTGTAAGTAAGATTTCCTTATTAAAAAAATGTATTAAAATAAGAAGAAGCTTGTTAAAATAATAATTAGAACAGGGGAAAAGATGACTCAAATTACAGTATCTTTTTCAGCTATCCATAAAGGCCTTTTCAGCTACTTTGGCAGTAGATGGAAGGCAGAAATAGATTGTGCTGTGAGTATGCAATTGGTAAACTGGAGACAAGTTGAAGGAAAATGGCAGCTATTTTGTTAAAGTGGTTCTTTCACACTGTCTTAAAAGAAGGCTGCAGATCTCTGTTCTATAAAGGCTCTGATTGTGTGTCCTAGTGGAGATGGGATATCATTAAACAGCGTGTAGAGAACAAAGGAGCTGGTTGTAAAAAGATGGGAGCTTTGAGGATGCTGCAACACTGAGTATATCTGCAAGATTTAAAGAAAGCAAGGGAAGCCTCTGATTTTTTTGTTTGTTTGCTCTCTACAATCAGCACTATAATTAGCATGGTCCCTAAAGCTTACTCCAGTGATGTCAGGTATATATTTACTTTACAATTGACTTTTTTAAAGGGCATCTCAAATACTCATTTAACATGATACCCAAATTAAGGAGAGATAGAGACTGTTTCCACCTGAGGTGTAGTTTTTGAGGTTTTCTATACCATACAAGAAGCCATAATCAGAATCATGGTCCTTCTGGGTTTTGTCCTTGTCACCTTCTTTTGCCTATTTTTTTCCTTGTAAGTATTCCCGTCAGTCTTCCCTTATGCCTCTCCCTGATCATTGCATCTCACCTTTCCATGGCCTTGCTTCCATGAGACATGTCAGACCAGTAGGCCAATGTATTGGGGGAGAGGGGGGTCCCAGCAGAAAACAGATGGCACACTTAAATTAGAATATTTTGAAGAGAGTTTAATAAAGTGACTATGACAGAAGTATGGAAAGCGTGTAGGGAAACCACAAAGGATAATACTAGTAATGCTTGGTTCTGTTACCCAACCAAGACATAGAGGTGTGTGGAGAACAGTAACTGACACCTAAGTAAAGGCAGTATTACAGTATGGGAGTCAGGGGAACAAACAGTCTGACTTCACTTTCCTCTCTTCTCATCTCCTACCAGAGACTTCCTTGGGTTAGAAGCTTGAGGGCTGTTGTGTGCTAGGTATTGTGCTGGGCACTGTGGCAAACAAAGCTGAATAAGATAGGGTTCTTTAGCCTTAGGAATTCTGTCAAATCTCTTGGGGGAGACAAACATGTTACTGGCAGGATACAAAAGTAACCTGGGAGAGTGCACAGGTGCCTGTGGGTTTATGTTCTACTGAGAGGCTAAGGAAAGTCAGCTTATTAGCTTTGTGACCTTGAGCAAGTCATTTAACTTACTGTGTTTCATTTTCTCATATATATAATTTGGGAAAAAATAGCATGCATTTCATGGGGTTATGGGAAATTTGGTTCAATAAAATATGTAGACCACCTAGCAGAATGCCTACCACAGAGTAAGAAGATGTAACAATAAAAATTATTATGCTATTTCTCTTGCCTTGAATGGTCTAACCCTGTCATCGCTACACATAGATATCTTATTACTATTCAACATTCATTTCAAATGTCAGTTCTTCAAGAAAGATTTACTTATATTCCTAGTTCATATTCTTCATTATATATTCTCATAGATTCTTATACTTTTTTTGATAGTATTTATCACAATTATAACTAAATAATGAATTGTTTAATGCTGTTCCCCTAATAGATGGTGAATTCCATGTTGATAGGGACTACGGTATTTTTCAGTACTATATTCTAAACACCTAGCACAATGTACAGCACATAGACACTCAGTGAATG